GTTCTAAACCAAATCACTTTGCAAAAATGTGTAAGTCACAGCAAGTAAATGAGATTGCGAAAAAATCATCCAGCTCAGATGAAGAGTGCAATTTAATTCAGTCATTTGACTCGTGTGAGGAGTTCGAAATTATGGCTATTGAATCAGAATTGTCTTCGATGGAAGAAATAGATGAGTATATAAAACAGCAATCAAACAGAAACCGAGATATCAAGAAAAGTAGCAAGGACATACAGAAGGTTGATATTCGCAGAAATACCCGATCGAAACAAATAAGGTCCTTAAAAGCTTTAGTGAGAATAGATCATCAAATTATCAACATGACTATTGATACGGACAGTCCTGTATCATTTTTGAACTGGGCTACTGCAAAGCAAAATCGGGAGTCTTCAAAAAATACGAGGTTCATTCCACGGAAAAATCTCAATTTGACTACAAAATTTGTAGACTATAACAAACAGCCGATCAATATATTGGGTGCAATCACCACGACCATCCGTTCAGCAGGGTGGGAGGTGGTGGGAGCATCGTTCTTAATCACAGAACGACGCACGAGATGTTTTTTGGGGCTGGATTTACAGAGCAAAATCGGGATACACACAACACAGAAGTTGGCACCGAAAGAAAAGACGAGATTCGACGTGTTACTGTGCGAACAGTCAGAAGGTTGGAAAAACAAATTCTATAGTAAATTTAAAAACCTTTTTGATCGTCAAGGGTGTTCAAAAAATCACGTTGACAGCACAAAGTTCAAATACCCACTTTGTCCATTACAAGAAAAAGGGAGACGCATCCCAATACACATACAAGGGAAAATGTATGAGGAAACGGAAAAACTGCTAACAGAGGGGCATTTAAAACGTCTAGACAAATGTACTAGTGATTGTTTTATAGCACCTATTGTAATAACAGTAAAAAAAGATGACTCCATAAAATTGGCTTTAGATGCCAAACCCATCAATAGACAGTTGTTCAAAATAAATATCAAATGCCGAATGTGGATGAATTATTGGATGGGGTCAGTCAAAAAATCACAGCAAATGAAAGCGGTACACTGTATTTCTCAGTATTAGATTTGAAGTATGCCTACAGTCAACTTAAACTAACTGCAGAGACAGCTAAACAATGCAATTTAGGTGGGCAAGCTACTGGAACATACAGATTTTTGACCGGATTTTACGGTCTGGCAGATATGCCAGCTGAGTTTCAAAAGGCTATGGACAGAACATTGAACCATGCGGAAAATACGTTCTGTTTTCTCGACGACATACTCATTGTGTTTAAAGGAAGTGAACAAAAACATGAAAAATTGATCTTGAATGTGCTGGAAAAGCTAGAAAAAGAAAATTTGGCACTAAAACTGTTGAAATGTGAATTCTTTCAACAGGAGGTGAACTGGTTGGGACATCAGTTATCGTTGGAGGGTATTTCTCCAAAGATAACAAAAACGGAAGCGATTTTGAAGCTTAGTCCGCCAACTTCACTGAAACAACTCAGATCATTTCTGGGTAGCATAAATCATCTGGCCAAATTCATTCCAAATGCAGCCACTCTAACTGAAAAGTTGAGACCTCTGCTGCGAGAAGAAAATGAAAAGAAAAAACTCAAAAGTGTGAAAATTCAAGTAAAAAATTCGAATGGAAAGAAGAACAATCGGAGATATTCGAATCGATAAAAGCAGCGGTTGCGAATATAACAAAAATTCGTTATTACGACCCTAAGCTACTTGCTCGGGTAAAATGTGACGCCAACCATAGTGGACTGGGGGCATCGTTGGAACAACAAAACGGGGAGGGGGAGTGGATACCGATTGCTTTCGCTTCCATATATTTAAACACACAAGAAAAAAAAACTCCACAAATGAACTAGAACTGCTAGCAGTAGTATGGTCTGTTGACCGAATTAAACATTATTTGTTAGGAAAAGAATTCGTGATAGCCACTGATCATAAAGCACTGGTTTCTGCTTTGGATGAAAATAAGTCAAACAAAACCTACCAATCTAGGATGACTAGATGGGTAGACAGATTACTAACCCTATCAATTTAAAGTTATTCATTTACCAGGAAAAGATATGGGTATAGTAGATTACCTATCTAGAAACCCGAAAGGTGAACCATGGCCGGAGTCAGTATTGGATGAAAAATTTGTAGTCACATCGATTGAAAGTTTTCATAAAGCTCTCGACTGTTTAAACAGTTGACTGAGTGAGCACGATAGGCTCGACCGGAACGAAAACGTTCTAGAATATTCTAGAATTGATCAAAATGTATCAAATCAGAACACGTCATCTACCCGTTGCTATGGCAACCAAAACGGTCCAAAACGGACAAAGCATGACGGGAACGAAAAAAAATGAAGATTCACGTTCGTTTCAACGAGAAAAGTCTGAAAACTCAAAAATCAGTTTATCTCAAAATCGTCAGCAAATACAGTCGGTCGAATCAGTTAAAGAAATCGGAAAGTTATCAAATCACGAATCAGAAAAATGCATTCAGGCGAAACAAGTAAAAGAGGAAAAGAAAAAAAGATTGTCAGAATTCAGGATCGGAATAACACAGACACACTAAGGGAGGAAATAACAGAAACGACGTTCCAAAGAACCAGAATGATACAAAGGACCCCAAACAAATCAGAATCAGATAATTCGGACTTTGAACAAATACCACAAGCGCATTGGAACACGCTTTACAGACAGATCGGCACAGACACAGGAAATAGTGGTCAGTCAACGTCAACTGCCACAACAGCCCAACCTATGTTAGTTTCATTTTGGGAACTAATAGGATCGGAAAAGAATGAAAAACCCCGGCCAATGGAATTAGAAGCCACTTCGGTGATGCAGAGCCCGAAACCATCGAAACAAACCCAATCAGGAGATGAAACTGAAATTGGACAAATCTTTGAGGTGGACCTAACGATGGACAGCATTGATGAACCGGACTACAGTTCAGGAACTGAGACTTGTATGGTCACACCGCAACAGAAGACGAGAAATCGCCATAAATCGCGGAAAAGCAGTTACCAACTGTCGGAGCAGTTAAAGGAAACAAATAGTCCACTGTCACTTGTAAAATTATTTGACAAAAGTCTACTGGCGGAACTAGTATCAGAGGATACTTGGATGGATCGGCTCAGGCGAGTGGTAGAACGGAACGATAGACATGGATTCGAGCTAATGGGCCCATACACCAACCCTCTGTGGCACCAGATGTCGGTTGTTGATGACTGCCTACTGGTGGACAATCGTTTAGCCGTACCTGAGAAGCTGAGACAAGCGGTGCTTCGGCGACTTCACCAAGGACATCCTGGCCAAGAAGCGATGTTGGAGGTCTCCAATTACTTATGGTGGCCACACATGCACAAAGACATAGTCAATATGGCCGAAGAGTGTAGAAGTTGCACTCGTTATGGTAAGAATGCTAAATATTTAATCCCAAAAATTTCGGCCAAACCACTTCCGCTGTTGACACAGACTGGGCAAGAGTTACAATTAGACTATGCGGGTCCACTTGAAGACCATAAGGGAAAGAAGATTTATTTGTTAGTTGCTATTGATAGAAACTCAAAATTTCCGTCAGTCAAAGTTACGAAATCTACAGGGGGAAAATCAACAATAAAATTTCTACGTACCTACATTGACACACATGGAATACCAGAATCGATTAAAACGGATCCGTTTTCAGGGTTTAAAGGAAAATCAATGAAAAAACTTTGCACTGAAAATAATATCATTCAAAAATTCTGTCCAGTCGGTGATCATCGAGGATGCGGATTAGTCGAACGAACGATACAAACTATTAAACGAAGATTGGGAGTAATGCTACTCGAAGAAAAAATACAATCTATTAAATTGTGCTTGAGCACAATAATTAGGGACCTAAGACGGAACAAACAGAAAACAATAAAGTTGTCCCCGTTTGAAGCGCACTTTGGTCGATTACCTAAAACTGAGTTTAAAAATGTAAGGGATAAAATTCTGAAGGAATCTGATCGTTTAGATAAAGAACATTTGGAGAGATCGGCGTTAACAGCAACGCAGTTGAAGAGACGCATTGATCAATCCAAGGAAAACGTAAAGATCATCCGAAAAGGACAGAATAGCCGGGACGTCAGCCCACTGTTTCTACGCAACACTGCGGCGGCCAAAGAAAAAGCTAGGGCGAAGGAGTTAAAGCAGCTACTAGAGGCCAATGCGAGATAGAATGTCACCAGACGGGATATCTCAGATAGCGAACTACGACGAATTGTAGACGAAACGAGCACGATAAATCCCGAACTGAGAAAGGAACTCCTATACTCATGGCAAAAAGGATTTATCGAGGACAAACAGACTACAGCAGATGATAGCTGGTCAGGAAGCTTCCTCCGAAAACACGAGCAAAAAAAGAGTGGAAAGGCCCTAACAATACCGCTGAAAGGCAAAGTAGTAGCAGAGACGCCGTCAACAATCAAAACGGCTGCTGGTGCAGTATATCGGAAGAGCGACATAGCGAGATCAAAACTGCATACACAGCCCAAAGCACAGAGCTCGGAGAAGAAGAGGAGCCCAACGGGGGAAGAGCCTAGGAGCAAACAACAGAGGACATTATTACATCAGGAAGACGTAGACAGTGAGTCGGCTGAAGAACATGAGGCGAAAGACCAGGGGCCAACCGATCAGGAGATAGAAGACAATCGACTATTGGACAAGTTTCAAAACTCACCAAACGTAGTCACGTCAAGAGAAACAAAGACGGGCGGGGGACTGAATCTAGGTGGGAAAAGGGTTAAGCCAAATAGGGCAGGACACTAGTCCAAAGCGCAAGATCTGGAAAAACCAAGACACAAGAGCCACGTTCAACAAAAACTGTTGAAACAGCAAAAGAATCTAAGAAGCGGGGTTGGAGTAATGAAGCTGTATACATAGAGTCGTCTGCACCGAAAAAAGCTCCAGTGAGTAAAAGGATTACACGGCAAACTAGTGAAAAGGAAATTCTGGACACATTCCAGAATAACAATATGACAACAAAAGAATGGGAGAACATCACAAACCAGGTTTTGACCCGAGGGGTACAAAACGAAGCAGAAACACTACTGAATCAACAAGCGGAATCAGTTGACAATAACACGGCAGTATTTGCGGACGAGTTGGACAAAGACGAGGATACAACAACAGTCAGACCAAGCAGTCGACAAACAAAGAACCAGGGTCCAAAGAGATACGGCAGCCCGGTATCACACTCAGTAAATTTGATTAGTTGTGACGACGATGTAATAGAGCTAAGCTTGGCAGCACTTGAGGCCTACTGGCAAAGTTGAACATCAATAACAAAGAAACAACATTGGAGAACAACACGTTTGACTTACTAGAGAGACATTTGTTCAAAAGGAAATTCGGAGCTACATCGTTGGATGAGTCGGGATCGTGGAACGCTGCAAGAAACAAAGCGGAAGTGATGAAGAAAACAAGCAAGGAAAACTAAGCTAAAATGAAAACCATTTAGTAAACTGAGATTTATATACTATTTATAAAATTTTATAAGGTATTATATAAAATTTTGTTGTACTCAGGGGAATGTGGTACCGTGTAGTACTGTTGCCACAGTAACCTTGGATAAAGTATTTTAATATTCTGTTATGTATTGTTAGTATTATTCATGGCCATCCATGCAGGCCAAACGTAACAAGTATTTGGACAGTTGCGATCATAGAAGACACATGAACGTAATCTCTAACAAAACTAAGCAATTCAACAAGACAGAATTAAAGGTTTTAAATTATTCTCTTTTGCTCTTACTTACTCGTAGCATAGCAATAACACAAGATCCTACTATGAACCAGAGCTTTATTTGATTTTTTTTGTAAAAATGAGCTTGACAGTTATCAGTATGCATTTGCGCGTCTCAGCAGTTGCCAGTTTTTCTTACAGGTTTTCGAAAGTTTTTTTTCAAATTTTTTGGGTATAACCAATGCAAAAAAAATCATGTTAAATCTTCTTAATAAAACTGAAATACCTGATAGTTGGAATAAGTTTCCACTGCTTTAACTTCACTTTAACTATAACTGTAAAACGACCCATAAGCAGGGGCGCATCTAGGATTTTCTAAACGGGGAGTATTTTCAAAAAAAATTCACAAATTTTGTCGTCGAATAGATTTCCGAGATCTCCCAAATCACTATAGAGACCCTATTTCAACCAAAATTTCTTCACTAGGCCTTTTTGATTTTTTTTGGCTCGCTCGCCACTGAAAATTAGTATATACCTTTACAAAACTTACCTAATTATTAAATTTGGTAAACTTTAAATCCAGTCAGTCAAAAATGGAGGTCGCATAGTAGTACCAAAGGGTCGATTCTTTGGCTGGCGATAAAGTCGAATCCTTGAAGAAAAAAACTTTCCCCTCTCCATCGCCCCCTTTAATCCGCTACTGCCCATTAGTATCTTTTAAATTTACCTATCAATTTATTTAAGATTAAGGTACACGAACCTTCAAAAAACACTTAGCCAAATATTTTTGAAGATTAAACCATCGGAAACCTAGTTCTTAAAAATGTATTTGCATACCATTTTTTTTACCGAATTCTAAAATAAAACAATCAATAAAAAGCAAAAAATATATTTAATTTTCAGAAAACACTTCTAAATATTCCGTTCAACAACGTTGTTTCTTTCGGAATTCAATTGAACCGTCAGTTTCAGGTTGGAGTTTGCGCAACCTGTCAACCATATTAGAAATTTTAATCATTTCAATTAAAATTGAAAAAAAAATCGGAAATGTAAAACGTTCAAAAGGATTGAATAAATAAGGTAACTCAACTTAAGCTTTTTGTATGAAATATATGATATAGCTTAATTACCTCAATTATGCAAAAACGTGGTGGAGTTATTCTCATGATGGAGGGACCGAATGATGGAAAACTTCCAAATAATAGAATCATTAGTCGTTCCTATTTGCTGAAAGTTTTCTGCACAAAACCGAAGTTCAAATTAGCGAAAACTGATTTGAGGGCAACTTTTGCTGAACAATTCCTGCATCTTGCATTTCAAATCGTGCATCTTGCATTTCAAAATCGGTACCCTTTAGCAATAATTTTTTACAATGCGTTTTAGAGCTGACACTATTTGGACTTTGATTTTTTTGCTTATTTTGCAATCGGTCAACTCCAATGTTGATGTTGATGCCTCAAATTTATTTGCCTAAATTGAAATTTTCGCGGTTTCTCTGAGAATTTACACTTATTACAGCAACCAGTGGCGGTGTATCGACTAGCATAAATTTTTTTTAAATGAAAATCGTATCGACTGGCATAAAAATCGAAAAACTGTCAAAATTCAAATATTGTCAGAATTAAAATCCTTGGATCTTGTTAATTATCATCGTTAAACATAGGATCCAACTCATTACCGCACTGGAGTTTTATGAAGAATAATCGACTAATCTTACACCCCCTCATTCACCCCCCCCCCCCCCCCCCCCTCCCCACACACGATCAAACCGCCTCCCCCACGTTCACACTCCCCACCGTTCACACCCCCACTTACAACTCCTCGTTTAAATCCACCCCCGCTGTGGGGCGTTTGAGGGGGTGTGTTTACGCGGAGTAGGGGGGGGGGGGTGCTGGGTCTTTGTTGTGACTTGTAATCTCAGGGGGTTTGGGGGTTGGGGTGAATAGTAGTTTAGTAATTGCAGGGAGGGGTTGAACGAATTGCAATCCCTAATGAAATAATTTAACGGATAAACAAATGCGAAACGATTCAAGCCATTTGAAGAAGTGTACGGTTCAAGCCATTACAAATCGGGGCAGAGGCTGATCTATCATTTTCTCAAGGGAAGAGACGGTTTTTCGAAAAAAAAACAGGCGAAAAAAGGCGTTAAAAAGAATTTTCTTAAAAAAGAATTTTTTAAAAAAAGAATTCCCTAAATTACTACCAAAGGGGGGCTCTTTGGGTCGGCAGGGGGGTCGAATCCTTGAGGGCTAGGGAGGGGGGGGGTGTTTGTGAGTGTACGCTCCTCAACCCAGCCCCCTCTCTAAATCTGCCCCTATGGGTCGGGTTTGACTGATCACAATTTATGGTACGAGGAATTTCATTTGCTTGTTGATATAAGTAAGTTTCTAATGTTTCTATATCTCAAAAATACACGTTTACAAGTTTAACTTTGAAAGGATTCTTTTTTGTCGTTTTGTATTTCTGAGAAAAATAGCTATCAAAATAATGCTAGTCGATATATTTTCATGATTTCACACTTTTATGCTTGTCGAGCTTTATGCTAGTCGAGCGGTCACCCAACCGGGTACTAGTGTTTAGATCATTACTTAGATTTAGTCTCAAAATGCCTTTAATTATGAAATTGCGCCTGAAACACCCAAAAAACCCAACAATAATATCACCCCAAAACGCCTGAAACACCCAAAAAACCCGATAATATCCTTCTATCGCAGCTGGATAGCAAATCATAATTTTTCAGAATTTTTTGTGTAAACACGCTTGCCTGCTGGTATATATTCCGATTTGATGAAACGACCCTGAAAATCCAGCTCAGGCAAATTGTTTTCGGCTCTTTTGCCATCGATCCATTGCCAACATGGCGTAAAGAACATTTTATACAAGAAAACTTCCCACATTTGAAAATGCAGCTTATCCTGGATACTTTCTACACCCCCTGGCATTCCCGAACTTTGGACAATCGCGGGGATGTTGAAGTTTTCTGCAACAATCAAAGTTGACGCAAATTTCAACTCTGTCACGAAAACGTCAAACTCAGTCGCTCTCTCCTCGAATTTTTTTGAAATCTCGGTATAAGCAAACTCATAGTGTCTCGCAATGTTCGAGCAATATGTGAAAAAAGAGTGGAATTTTCCATCGTATTGATCGTTTCCTACGACATGTTTTTTGATTCGGTGAACTTTGACCTTGCTGGAATCGCTGACATAACCAGACTAACATAATTACTCAAACGGTTCACAAATTATGACGGCTTGACTTACCAAATATTGTATTTCTGTTGAGCTATTGGCCAACTTTTATCTAACAATGTTGGGCTATAATTCAGCAGAAAAAATGCCTCTTTAGGCTATCAATGCATTTTTCTTTTCTAGTTCCTTATGGCCAGCTCAGGCTTTGTTTGGTGCAATAAATCTAATTGGTAAGAGGGGCGGTTAAATGACTATATCGTTTCTATAGTAGTTTCAAAACTCGGAAATAAGATTCGTCGATCTAAAAAGCCCGGAGAAAAACTTAAATAATTCAGCTAAATCGGAAGCCCGCCTCTCAAATCGACTCGCAGCACGCCCTACGCTTTTGACAATAAACTCTGCCGGCTAGATCATATTATTGTTGCCAAGTAACTTGGTTATATCCTGGCAATTAACTTGGAAATCGTGACCGATCATGCAAGATCTTGCACAATTTTATAGGGTTAACTTGTTAAGATCTTGCATGAACTTGCACGATTTTATAGGGTAACTTGTGAAGATCTTGCATGAACTTGCACGATTTTATAGGGTAACTTGTTAAGATCTTGCATGAACTTGCACGATTTTATAGGGTAACTTGTTAAGATCTTGCATGAACTTGCACGATTTTATAGGGTAACTTGTTAAGATCTTGCATGAACTTGCACGATTTTATAGGTTAACTTGTTAAGATCTTGCATGGACTTGCACGATTTTATAGGGTAACTTGGTAAAATCTTGCATGATCATTGGCAAGATTTTGTAAGATCAAAACCAGGGGCGGATTTAGGGGGGGCGGGGGGGTATGCGGACGCCTCTTCTCAGGGATTCGACCCCCCTTTGGTACTTTTTATGAAATCCATTTTTGGCCGACCGACCATAAAATTTTTCTAAAAGCGCCTTAGGCGCCAATATATACTAATTTTGAGGGGGGAGTGCGCGTCGAAAAAACGCGATTTTTTGGTCAAACATTGGCCAAAACAGGGACTAAAACGTGCTTAAAGAGAGCTCGAAAAATCAATTCGGTCGATCTAAATAAAAGGTCGACAAAATTTTCGAAAATGTTTTTGAAAATCCGCCCTCCCTCGCCCCTCGAATAAAATCCTAGATCCGCCCGCCCCTGATCAAAACACTGGGCTGCATGAGAGCTTACTATAATATTAATGTCAGCCGCTCAGGTTTATGTTACATGTAAAAAGAGGCTGTTTTCGCTTCGCATGCATCTGAGTCTTCGAATATTGTGCAGTTGTGTCTGTAACTGCAAATGGGTTCAATTAACGTCGACATAGTCCCAAACTGACCCCCATGACAAGGCAAAAAAATCAACACATTCAGACTTGTCGTAAGGACGGGGAAAGAAAGGTACAATGAGAACAAAAGTAAAACGGTCATTGATTCTAATGCCATTTTAAACAGATATGAAACACTATTATTCCGTACATAAACAAAAACTACTTTGAAATAGCTTTGTTTGAAGTTCTGAAAGGCTAGTAAAAGAGTCAAACTTTTATTTAAATGGCCTCTTAGTTAAAAAATAGCGCACTGATTTCTGATAAACTTTATCTCGAGTATCTGGCTTTGGCATCAATATTTGCTTGTATAAATGTTTGTGCGCCAAAGTTATCAATGGAATTGTTACTTAAGCTAAGTTTAAGAAAATTCTTTCGTGGCCTAAGTTTCGTCTGCCGGATTAAACATGGATTACTATTTTGGGTCCAAAACTTATTTTATAAAAAATTAAAGTTATGTTTTTTTAGGCAATGGCAGAGGCTACTAAGCGAAGCAAAACCATCAAAAAACAAACCACTGCTGCCATACTAATCAGATTTCATGTCGAATACAACAGCCCTCCACGCCGTTTATAACTTGAGTCGTGGGGCGGATGTTATTGTGTATTAAACTTGAAATTTCAAGCTAATCGGAATAGTTTAAGTTAATCGTGCAATCAGCGGAACCTACTGAACAACTTCGGTCCAAAATAAAAAGGGGAAGCTTGATCTTAATTTGGTCTATTTGTGGCTACGGATGTTGATTATCCCAATTCAACAAACGTCTAATTATAGCATTTTTTTCTCCATATAACTGAAATATATTTTTTTGTAACTTAGTCAATTTATCTAATGCAATTATCATTCAGTTCCTGTAGAAAATACGCTGTTTCATTGACAAAATAATTTAATTTGGTCTATTTAAGGCTACGGATGTTGATTTGCCCAAATTCACAAACGTCTGATTATAGCATTTGTTTCCAAATCAGTGAAATATTCTTTGTAACTTTATCAATCTAATACAATCATAATTGAGTTCCTGTAGAAAATGCGCTACTTATTGTTAAAATAATCACTTTGACGAAATTTATACTAAGAAAGAAGCGCCTGTAATTATCGAGGATAAGCTTCCAGCACATGCCCTTTTGTCTCACATGAATAATCCAACCAAAAACTTTAATTCAGACATATTAACTTAGAAAATACTGTTTTTTTTTTGCTTCGATTGCCAAAACTAATCGACACAAAAATTGGCCGACAGTTTTAATTTACCAACAGGTATATTTCTTACACAAAAGCAAAGCGAAACCTTGCGCCATTTGCGATATAAAACTATATGCACACAGCGTAAAAAAGTGACTCTGAAAACATCAAAAAATTATTGAAAAGGACCTCATAAGATTACAAGAACAAGGAAGATCTAGCCATTTTATTACATTTATGATTCACAAAACTCAAACTGGGCGATTGAAACTCAAACCGGGCGAATGAAACATATGCAAAACAAAATTTTTAAAAAATTAAACAAAAACACTAGCCTTCTTAAATTTTTCAAATTACAAAGAATCATGATTTCAAAAAATTTAAGAAACGGTGCCAAGTATTGAACTCTCCGGAACAGAGAAGAAAGCAAACGATAGAGTAAAATATGAAAATAAATTGCCAAAAATCTGAACTGAAAAAGTTTCACAATTAAATATCAAACAATCAGCCAAACTTCTTGGAACACAATTACTAGCACACTGACCAGACTACCAGAATGAAAAAGTTCCAATGATAATTACAAGCTGTTTCCTGAAAATTAAGACGACCAAAATAGCAGAAAAACAAGAATCAGACAAACACTTTTTTTCACAGGGAATTTTTTTGAACTTTTGTCGTCCACAGTTTGAAAATTATCTCTATGGCAAACGAGCCAAAACAATACCACGGAAGTGATACATTAATAAAGTAAAATGCGCAAATGATTCAGTGGTTTTGTTTAAATAGTTGTTAACCAGAAAAAAGGCTATAACCCTGTTAGATATTGCTTGCTAATTGCTAGCGTAAAAAGTTGAAACAAAACCTAACAACTCATGAGAAGAATTTAAAAAAACCATGGCTTGTCCTCAAAATTGGGGCTGAGACATTAGACGACAAGCAAATTAGACGGATGCACTTAAAAGGAAAATACACGATTTTGCAAAACTGCAATTGTGAGAAAATAGACGAAAGTGAGAGAGATCAAAATTGTTTGCAGACAAATTGCGTGAGAAAAGTAAAATTATTTGCAGAAAACAGTTAAATTTCGGTGACTAAAAACTTTACATGTCAATCATTCATAATTTATTCAATTCAAAACTCTCCTTTAATGTTCGGATTTGACACTTTATGTTCATTTAAACTAATTGTTTTGATAGGTTTTGTCATTTTATGTTCTTTTTGCATTTGTGAAACTTGACTCTTAAAAAAAACATTGTTGGCCCTTTCCTTTTGATAGCAGTGACATCTAAAATGCCAGATCTGTAAAAAACAATTCGCATTTCGCTCAATTTCTTTTTTTTTGTAGGATCCGTTGAATTTGATTATCGTCTAATTTCCTAGGCCCCCTCAAAAATACATTGTAATTCGGAAAAAATGATGTTTGGTTGCTGTGCAGAATGTTGCGACCACATTAATATCTATGCAAACTGTTTTTTTTTCAAATAGCGTCATTTTTGTCCGTGATGTAATGAGAGAATTTTTATTAATGCTCAGAACTTAGGCAGAATCAACAGCAGTTTTCTTCAAAAAAGGAATAGAAAAACAGCAAAGCAAATATTTAGTCCCAAGAAGCCGCTGAAAACTAACTAGTCTCTCCTCTCCATTCACAACTCTCCACCACTCACTACGCCCACACCTTGCGGTCGTCGCATCCACTACGCTTCATTCAGAAAGTTGCAATGAAAAATAAATATCTCGTTTCAGTAAAAAAAATCAGGATTTATTTTTCTTTTCACCAGGCTCTTAGACGCCTATACTTGTGATTCAAGTCGTTTTAAACTAAATGGATGATCGCAATAATACTTTATTGACAAAGCTTGACATATTTGAAAGTCTGATAGACAATTTACATATTTTTTTTCAATTTGTTTCAGGGAAAAGAGGAAATTCAGACGCTACTCAGTCACCACCGCCCTCATTATCGAAGAGTCGCAGGCGAAAAAGGCGGAGAAAGACGACAAGTCATCACTCGGGTCATTCGACCCACTCGGCATCTTCTCGGCTCAAATGGGTCTCTCCTCGTCATCGGCGAGTGGATCCAAGAGTCGCAAGCAGCAAGAGGACAAAAAGTTGAGTTACGTGAAACGACAAGACCAGTACTTGAAAAAACTACAAGCTAGAAATGAATTCTACAAAAGGTTAGATTAACTTTGATAAATAAATACTGTAGATTAAAACACCTGACAAAAAAACCACAAAACCAGGAAAAATACAAAATTTAACGACTTTTTGTCTCATGTTTTGATTGAAAGGGAGGGGGAGTAAAATTTGCAAATTGGACTACCTGAAAAATGGAATGTCAGATCTGAAATTCAGTCTGAAATAACAGCATCCAAGCGTTATTCTATTATTTCACAGCCCATTTCAGGGTTGAAGCTTCAGATCTGAAATGAAGCATTCATTAGGTACGGGTGAAAATCCTACATGAACTCCTTTTATGACCAATCTATTTTTGAAGTCAAGTACTTTAGTAGTTTTCAAAGCCCTTGATTTATAATTATCAGTGGTTTGTTTGCTCTCATTTTCTTTCAAATTGCGAACGGAAGCTGACAAAATATCTTGTGTGACTGAACCTGAATGGAAAAGGTCCCGTTAAAAGGTGGGTTTGGTCGTGCTATTGAGTTAATTAATTGTGAACAAAAACCAATAAAAGGAGGGTGTATTTTCAAAAAAGCCAAAAAAATTTTCACTTGCTTTGGAACCTGTTTGAAGTCAATTAATCTCAGGATATCTAAACTAAAATACGATACTGAGTATTTTTTAAGGCTCAAGTAGGACTTTAATACTTACATGCAAGACTGTGTATATGTCATAAAATATTACTTATTCCGATAATAGCGTCCCATATGGGACAAATTTTTTCCGGTTACGTACCAAGGCGCTTTTTCCTTCATCAAATGATCCCACGATCAACAGGACATGAATAAACCCGACGCAATCAGCAAAACTACGATAAAATAGAGAAAAGCATAGGGCAGAGCTCACTTAATCGAGCTTTTTTTGTTCTTTTCTACCCCCTTGCTACATTGGAATTTAAATTCAAAAATATATATATTTTTTGCGGTGTAATAAGAAAATTATTTTTTTGCATCGTGAACAAATTAACATTTTTTGAACAGATTTGTTCATGGTATTTTAAATAGTAAAATCACACAACTTTACCATGAGAATCTAAAGCAATAATAAAATGGAAAACTTGAAATGGGAAGCCAAAAAGCAAAAAGAGTAAAATTCTCGAAGCAAAAGCGACACGTGATACTTTGAGCACATCGGATACATTTGATGGAAAACACTCTGGTCAAACTTCTACGTCTAAACGCACATATCAAGCTGATCAAGCTGAGTTATATCCTATTGGTTATACTCATAGAGTAATTTCAGATAAAGTACACCGTCTGCTCGTCACGCTATCTTATTTTCGGCCGGATAGATTCGAGCAACTTCTTAGTCTAATACCAATCTTAATCCTACTCTTATGTCTCCTAGTCTCAATGAATCTAGTGTACCACGCTTTGCGCGAGTTAGTTCCAGAATGAGAACAACTGTATTCTAAGTTTAATTGAAATTGTTCTAGTGTTGAAACTACAAGTAGTTTCAACACTTACAAATAAGTGGGTTGTTAGTTTGATGGAGTATGATTGGTTAGTATTTATTATTTTATAGAGATAAAAAACCATAATAATAACCAATGATAAATACTAATTTAGATCTGGTTCCACCCATCCGGGGTTTAGAGAGTTTTAGTTTTTCAATGTTCTATTGTAGTGAAGGATGGATGATGGTGTTTTTCTTTAGAGGTTGCTAGCATATTCTTTTTTCTGGTTTGGAAGAAGAGGTGTTATCACGATAGTTTCGGGAGATCGTATTATGATTTCTGATCGGTTGTGATGAGTGTTGATCTGGTTGATTTTAGAGAATAGCAATGGTCCAATCACATTCGGGAATGTCATGTAATTTGACTGTGGATGCAGTGCCTGGTGACTTGGATCTGTACGTATACTTGAACATCGAGATGGCCATTGTTCGGTTGCAATGGGTTTCCTTTGCTGCGATGCCAAGTCGTACTTTAAATCCGTTGAGTGTAGTGACTGTAGGTAGCATGTCAGGTGTGTCTTGCCATTCCGTAGTTGGAGTGTGATTGGGTTGTCAAGTTCCTTGCTGCTCGTCTTTGGGCTGCATGTTATCTATATACTGCATTGTATTATTTACATATCTAAATTTTTGTTAATCTTGTTTTTAGTCATGACCTTGTATTAGTTTTTATCGCAAAAGCGTTATTATTTAGTTCGGTTATTTTTAGGAGCTACTCACACTTGAGTAACTCTCGTCAAAAATAGAGTTGTGAGTGTCACAAAGCGTGGATGTAGCACGGTGGGTGAGGCCGGCTATAGAGCATGCTCTGGGTTTGGCGTGGCTGGCAAAAAAAGTTGAATTTTTGCGAGAGCTTTGTAAGGATGAAATTGAATTGAGTTTAGCTCTTTTTGAGACTGATCCCATCGCGAAAACTCGGGTTTCCAAAAATCATTCAAGCAAAGCTTCTGAGAAAAATTTTCAAACAAAGGGTTATCAAACGTTTTCTATTTTTCGACAGCTTCAATTGCTTGCGAAAAAATTGAGTTTTCAGATTAGGTCACTCCGGCAAAAAAAACTTCGAAGTTCTGCAGGTTGTTTTGATAGCTTGAGCTGGTGCTGGTTCAAAAAAATTAAATTTGCTTAAGCAGGCAATTCAATCAATAAAAGTTTTGAATGACTATTTGAAGAAGAAGAAGAAAAATTAATTTATCAAAGTTATTGAAGTAATTTTCTCAAATATTCCCAATAGGAATTACTGCACTTAACCTCGAAAAGACAGGTAACGAGATCAGCTGATCTGCCTCAAACCTACCCTGATTATTATAAAATAATAACACGAATATAATTTTTTATATAATTTCTTATATTATAAAAGTTTTAAAAACTTCCAGCAGCAGAGATCGAGCCTATGCACCCGATTCTTGCATTCAAAGTCTTGTCCATTTCTCATTGTTCCATTATAAAACAGTGGCAGCCTGATAAAAAACTGGTTGTTGTGCAAAAATTAAAAATGTTCTTCTTTTTGTATTTTCTCTTCGTGAGTGTATCACTATAAACTAGTTTTTTTTTCTTCAAATTTATGTTTTTATCGAGTTATTTGATTCTCAAAATTGCAACAGTGATTCTAATTTCTATCCATTTTTTTTCTATGACCTATCAAAAACCGCAAAAAATAAATCAAAGACGTTCTTTTCAAACAGCAAAAATATTGGATTTTTTCACTGCAGCTACATTATCACTAATAACAATGATATAATAGTTTCGACCCCTAACGGTGTTTCTTAACGATGTGAACGCTATAAAAAAGGGCACGAAATCTTAACTGAAGGCATTTATAAATCAAGAAGCTTAGCAGAGTTAGTTATCTCACAATCTTTTGAAAAGATTGTATTCGCTTTAGTCATTCGAGATGGAACATTGACGGCTTTCCCTTAACATACGCGGGGTCTCCTTTTTCCTTTAACTCGCAGGGCATTATATTTATACTAAATGAAGAAAGAACAACATAGTCCAAGATGACAGTTTTGACAAAGTTTTCTTTTTCATAATTTACACTAATGACAGCACGTTAAAAAAATTTGATCTCAAGAGATGTTTTACAGATGATGTTATGCAAAACGGAAAAAAGGTATCTTCATTCGTACCCAACCACCGCCCCGACACTAAATGATCGAAATGAAAAAGCGTAGTCCTCTTTTATGAAATGGGAAAAATCTTACTAAAAAATGCAGGGTTAATCTCCAGAGCGTTGAAACAACTCAAAAAAATTCAAAATAACAATTTATTTTTTCAAACGACAATAAAAACCGTATTTGTTCTGATATTCCAAAAATGAAATCGTTGTTTGAAAAAAATAAATTAGCAGAAAATGCTTTGATATGGAATTTTCTATATTCAAGTTTCGAACTCTTCGTAATATCGATTCAATTTTGTAAAAAAATTTCTATTTTCATTTTTTGTCAAGGAAAACTTTTTAAGCTGCAAGATTAAACTTTGGTGACTACTTAGTTTTAAATGTTTTACCAAGATTTTTTAAATAAATAGGCAACATATATAATTTCTCTTAGTAAATCTTAAAAAATTTAATTTTGAAATTCAATGCGAAAGCTTAGGTACATTGTCTGTGTTTTGGCCAAGCCCAAAAACTCGTTTTAACTCTGTTTTCTCTGGAAAACAAAATTGATAACAATTTAGCTCTAAATTATCAATGTTTTTTGTAAGAACAATTATTCGTAACCGATTACAGGGTAGTCGTAAAATTCAGTCTTCATATCTGAACAAAAAATTCTTCATATGTAAACCAAGTGAAGAGCGCACAAAATAGTGCAAACTGGTTAATTTGACAAATTTCTCATTAAAAAAATTTAGACTAATGATTGCTCATTAAACACTGTTAGTTTTGAGGTCAGGACATGGATACCCCCATGCTGTTACAAAAAACGGAAAAAGAGGGGGCTTTCCATGTCCTGACCTCAAAACTAATAGTGTTTAATGAGCAATCATTAGTCTGTTATAAGAAACGGAAAAAGAGTGGTCTTCTCGTATATAGTTTGCCCCCTTCCTGACCGAGCCTAAGTTATGGAAATGAAAATATGTACTTCTTTTTTACGGAATGGGAAAAAATGTTCCTTAAAAATTTAAAACTCATAAATTTGCAAATTAACAATTTTTAGTTTTAAACGACAATAAGAATTGCATTTGGTCTGATGTTTACAAAAAAACCGTTCTCTGAAAAAATAACTAGTTTAGGAGAAGAAAACGTTTTATTATGGCATTTTTTAAATTCGCAGTCTGATTTTTTTGAAATATCGATTCAATTTTCTAATGAAAATTTTTAGTTTTTTTTAAAATCATTTTCTGCATGAAATTTTTTGCTGTGAATTTTACCGACCAGTTTTTTAAATAACTAATCAAAAATTCTGCATAAATGGGCAACATTTTACACATCTCTCAGTATATCTTAACATATCTCTCTTGGAAATTCAATTCGAAACCTTAGGTACTTTGCCTGTGTTTTAGTCAAGCTCATGAAATTGTTTTCAACTCCATTTTGTCTAAATTGGGA